AGGCTGGACTGGGCCCAAGATCACAAGCTGTCCCTGACTCTGCCCTGCTGTGGAGTTTTGGAGTATGAGGGCTTATGCCAGCCCTACACCTGCCCAGCCCACCAGGAGTCCCCCTCAGAAGAGGACCCACCTGAGAGGCGTAGGTCTCCTCGTTTTGCAGACTTGCTGGGAGATGCACGTCATCCACACAGCTGCAGGATCAGGGTCTGCTACACCCACACTGGACACCCCCCACACCTTACTGCCTTTGCCCTTTGGCCGCCTATTCCAGACCAGCCCAGTAGCCACCAACCACATCAGGCCCTCAAGCCAAGGTCCTGCCCCCACAATGCTGAGGACAGGGACACCCCCATTGCCCACCAGGCATTCATTTTCCCCTTGCTATCCTCTGCTAGGAATGAGAGGGTCCCTAACCAAGGTTGGGACAGAGGAGAAATTGTGATGGTAGTGGTCGGGGTTGTTAGACTGTCCCAGAAGAAAAGTCTGTCCAAGAAAACCTAGCTGGTAGGAGTGGTAGGGAGTCTAAAGTTGTCATTCTTTTTGTTGTTGTTGTTTGTGGTTCTTTCGAGACAGGGATTCTCTGTGTAGTCTTGGCTGCCTGGAAGTAGCTCTGTAGACCAGGCTGGCCTTGAACTCACAGAGCTCCACCTGCCTCTGCTGGGTGCTGGGACTAAAGGCGTGTGCCACCATGCCCAGCTATGCCTGTCATTCTTAAAACCCGACCTGCTGTGGGCTGGCTTTCTTAAGGCTTTTTTTTTTTCCCCCATCACTGTCTTCTGTTGTTGATGTTTTCTTTTAATTAGAGAGACTGTACAGGGTAACAGCTCAGTTGGTAGAGTGCTTGCCTACCATGGCAGGAAGGTCAGGGGCATGGCAGCACATGCCTAGAATCCCAGCATTTAGCTGGCGAAGGCAGGGTGATGAGGAGTTTAAGGTCATCCCCAGTTCACATAGCAAGTTGGAGAGAGCAAAACATGGACCTTGGGGCCAGACTGTTTATTTCAGATTCAGATTCCGCCGCTGCTCAATCCTGTGTAAGCCAGTTCATCTCTCTGAGCCTCAGTTTCCTTTTCTATAAGATGGGTAGGGTGATGGTTTTACTGTGGTGACCTGAGGAGGTAACACCTGACAGGCACTTAGCAGGTGCCTTGTCCATACGAGGCATTCAAATTGCTTGTATCATAATTATCAAAGAAGCAGCTCAAGGGGCCAGGACTGTGGCTCACTGAGAGACCACATGCTTATCAGGCCCAAGGTCCTGGGTTCAGTCCCAGCATCAAAGTCAACAACTGATGGTCATTGTAAATAACACACATAAGCAAAATGAACCTGAAAAAAAATTCCTGGTGCTGCTGGTCTTTTGACGCTCTTAAGGTTGTTTGCACATTTTTAAATTAATAAGTGAACATGGACGAACATTCTGAAAGTATACGAAAACTTTCAGCTCTCTGTCCCTCTCCACACCCATGTGTACACACTCACACACACCCCCCCCCAACCCCTTCCACAGCACACCACGGTCTCACAGTGTCACGACTAGACTCACGGGCGCTTTCACTGTTCCTTTAAGTCTTGAGCCATAAGAGACATATTGAGGGGCTGGCAGGATGGCTCAGCGATTCAGAGCACTGGCTGTTCTTACAGAGGTCCTGAGTTCAGTTCCCAGCAACCACATGGTGGCTCACAACCATCTATAGTGGGATCTGCTGCCCTCTTCTGACGTGCAGGTGTACATGCAGGCAGAGCACTCATACTCAGCAGGGCATTTCCAGTGGTTCTGATCAGCGGTTGTCCCGTGGCTGCGAGGCTCCGCTCTGTCCGTATTAGGCACGGGTTCACACCGCAGTATAGAAACGCTCCACAGATGCAGGATTCGTGAAGCAATGGGTAGGAGCGCAGCGTGCGTCAGTGTGTCCAGGAGAGGCCGGGGTTGGGAGCTTTCGTTCCTTAGGCTTTCCTCCGCCGTCCTGAGCTGAGCGCCCAACCCAATGTTACATTGCTTGGCCTAGGTTTTTCCAGGCATGTTCACATGCTAAGTCACTGCAGGGACAGCCCCTCAGTGCTCCAGACTCCAGAGCTCATCATCTATTGACCTCGAAGCTTCTTCTGTTCAAACTGTTGGGCCTGGGCCAGCATGCAATCACTCTGGAGCTGGGGCAGCTTCCCAGCCCTGCACCTGAGCTGCTGGTGGGCCCCTTCTCCGGGTCTGGGTCTGGACTGTTTCACTTGTTTCCAGGCGCGCACATGTTCCTGCCAGTCCGTTGGGTGGAGCGGGGGAGCAGCCCTTCTCCACCCAATGAGGTTTCTTCTCTCCAGCCCAAAGTTGAACTGTTGGCTGAGCCTGTAGGGTTTGTTGATAGAGGGAAAAATTGTTGTGGAAATATTCCCTAACCCGCCCAGGTTTTGGTTCTATAAACAGTCTGTTACTCCGGCAACTTGACAGCTTTGGTGGGATGGGGAATGGGGGCTTTGTTAAGGAAACTGTTCTTTGTTTTGTTTTGTTTTTGCAAGCTTCAATTTCAACCTCCAGACCCCTCTTCCCTTGCTCCCTAGACTTACGCATTATTTTATAACTGGAAGGTCCCCATTTAGCACTCCTCAGCTCCTCCAGGGTTAACTTGCACCCTAGGATCCAATGCCACCCCCCCACTTCCGGAGTTTTTTGCTGTGTGCCCATTCTACTCTCTGTGCCAGGGAACACAGAGCAGCTCTCCCGCCTGACCGCTGTTGTGTTGAATCTGGAGTCAGACAGCTTGAGTTCAGATTTCAGCTTGGCCGATTAGCCGTATGACCTTGAACAAGTGCTTTACTCTCCCTGTAGCTCGCTTTTCTGTCTGTACTACGGGAGAGGGCAGGAGAATACTTACCGCTTAGGGCTGCAAAGAGCACAAAGTGCATTCACACACAGGAGGTCCCTGCCATGGTGCCTGGTGAGGAAGGAGGCTTAGGGAGTGGGTCTCAGTCATCGTGGCTAGGCTGCCATTATCATTTGTCTGAGGCATTGTAAGGCCAGGCTGGCCTTGAACTCACAGAGGTCTGCCTGACTCAACCTTAATGCAGGCGTGTGAACTGTGACACCCGGCTTTAAAAAGTATTATCTGTTATTACATTTAATGTATTTATTTTTACTGTGTACATGTGTGCTTAAGCTCACCAAAGCACACAGGTGGAGGTCAGAGGTCAGCTTGTAGAAATCACTTCGCCTCTACCTGGTGGATCCCTGAAATGGAACTCAGAATGTTAGGGGGTGTGGCATGTGCCTGTATACACCAAGACATGCCACCCGCCATATTTATTTATTTGCTTGTTTGTTTTTGAGACAGGGTTTCCCTATGTAGACCAGGCTGGCCTTGAACTCACAGAGATCCTCCTGCCTCTGCCCCGAGTGCCAGGATTAAAGTGCACCACCACCCACCGCCCCACTCCTGTTTTCTGTCTTGATCTTGGGATTTCCCAGCGTAGCCCATCTAGCATTCCTCCTGGTGTTCCAGGTATGAGCCACCCACGAGCTTAACACAGGAACTGGCTGTGTTATGAATGCCTGAGGAGCTTCATCTATAATCACTTCAGTTGGAAGCAGAGTTGGGCTCCTTGGGGCGCCTTTTATGGTTGCCGACTGTCAGGACAGGGATGAAGGGTTGTGTCCTAAGGGCTGAGGATCTCGGGCCAGATCTGTGCCTGGGGGAGGGACATTAACCTCCTTTGGAGCCTTTTGCCACCGTGCCTCATCCTCACATACATTTGGCCACAGACTTGGTCACTCGTGTTGATGCAGGAGAGGGAAAAGTGAGGAAAGGGTCTCCTGGTTTTTTTCTCCCTCACTTTTCTTCATATGTTTTAAAGAGTTTGAAACAAAGCCAAACAATAACAAAAATATTTTCAATGTTCTGGTCTTACAGATTCACTTAGAAAGGAGGGAAAGGAACTGTGCCATGTGGTAGCCCTGGGTGTGGCGCTCTAACTTCTCACTTGTGCCTGCTGTCTAGCCTGGAACCCATGTCTCTTTCTAGCAAAGAGTGTGGGAGTCTTTTATTATTCTTCTTTCTTTAAAAACTATTCTTTAAATTTATTTTTATTTCTGTGTATGTGTGTGTGTGTGTGCACCTGTGTATATAACGTGTTTATTCAGGTGCCCACAGAGGCCAGAAGAGGATTTTGGATCCCTTGGAACTCAAGTTTCAAGCGGTTATGAACCAGCTAATGGATGCTGGGAACTGAACTCTGGTCCTCAGCAAACATACTTAACTGCTGAGCCATCTCTACAAGACCCACCCCACTGCACCCCTACTCCCTCCAGCGCTCTTTAAAAAAAAAAAAAATCCTCAAGTTTAACAGGTGAAAAAAGAGGTGACTAACACAGAGGGCTAAGGGCCAACCCTGGACACACAGCAGGGCGTGGCAGCAGTGGTTTTCTCCCGGGTTTCCCTCCTCCTCCCATGTCCATCCGGGCTTCTTGCTCAGGCTGCTGTGCCAGGGTTAGAGAATAGGCGCAGGTGTGGCTGTCCTGCAGTTCTGGGGACTCTGGGAATGCGGCAGGCTTTGTTGTCGTCCCAGCAGCTGTGGCCGTTGGGGCCCGAGTATCCATTAAGCCGTTTCCGAGCCTTGGGCGGGAGCAGAAGGCTCGGCATTTAAAGGTCACCCGGCTTTTGAAGCTACAGCGACATTAATAGCTTGGGAAGAAAACAAGCCTGTGCAGGGGCCGGAGGACAAGGCGGCTCTGTCAGCACTGCCCCTCCTCCCCGGGGTGCTTGGCCGCACACACGCCTGCGCACACCCACACACCGACGGTAGCTTCTGCCTCCTGCTCGCCCACCTCCCTCTCCTTCCTTTTCGAGCCCCTTCAGTTCAGAAGCCTTAAAACTCGGCAGACTGCCCCGCATCCACCCCCACGGTGTCCGAGGTGACAATTGGATGAGGATGCAGCTGCCGGCGCTGCGGGGGGGTGGGGGGGCCGCGAGGAGGCAGCAGCCTCTCATTTCACGCCGCCTCACCCACTTAAGGTTTCCCCGGGACTTAGCCACGTTTACACGTGACCTCATTCTGACCCCTCTGGCCCTGGTATCCTGGAGTCTTGCTGAAGCAGTGAGTCCGAGCCCCACCTCCCCTCCCATGTGGGCAGGGCACAGATGCCACCCTTCAGGTCTGACGGCTTGCCTTGAGGCTGTGCCACGGCACTGGCTGCATGGGGTTCCGGGTGGGCACTGGAGGACAAAATGCCCGGGTGGATTAATTCCATCTGTTGAGGACAGAGCATAGAAAGTGTTGTCTGGTCAGCCACACGTTTACCGTCCCGCCTCCCCTCTCCCTTCCCTTTCCCCCTCCTCTCCTCCCCCCCCCCCCGCCCCCTTCCCCCATTTCTAAGATGCCTGTGCTATCCGGTGGCTCTTCTGTCCTCTAGACAGTCCCGGGGTGGGGGTGGGGCACACACAGCAAGGTTCTGGGAGGGCAGCTGTGGTTAGTCCTTTCCCTGGAGGAGCTGTGGCCTGGGCCCTGGGACACCACCTAGTGGCCTGGCCTGGTGGTGTCACTGGGCTGTGCGTGGTTCCTAGGCACGAAATGAGTCCCTGAAGACCATTGCAGGTGGACTAGATGTTCCGAACGTTCCTCAGCCACTGCCAGAGAGGAAGCCTGGAGTAGATGGGGACAGAGCTGGCGGGGAGGGGGGATTGTCCCCTCCATTCCTTTCCAGAGAGGGAGGAGAAAGTGCTTCATGGCCTCACACCTCCTCCTGGGGTCTCCAGTTGTAACCCCCACATTTCTAGGTTGACGCTGTCCCTGCCTGGGGAAAGATGCAGAGTCTAGGCATCTGCGGGAGTGGGACTGGCCGCTGACACTGGTGTAGCCATCTAGAAACGTGTGCCAAGGAGACAGCCCTGAAGACAGGCAGAGAGAGCTTGTGGGACCAGAGCCGCTGCTGAAGCACCCTAACCTCAGTCGCTCTGTCTGGGCCTTGGAGCTTGCAGTGCAGGTAAAGAAGCAGAGAAGAAAGGGCTTTAGACACCCTCGGTCAGTTATCGAGTTTCTCCACTGGTTGCTTCTCTGCCTGCCCACGTAGCCAGCATGGGCTGACTCTACTGGGCACGGCTGGGACCCTGGGGATTCCACACTGGATCTAGCAAATGTGCGCTTGGGAACTCTGTCCCAGTGTAGAAGATGGTCCCCGGCAAGTGTACTGTATGTGGTGTTTGTGACAGAGGATGACAAAGCAGGGCAAAGGTTGAGGAACGCTGGAAGACAGATCGGGTTGGCAGAGCAGGCCCCCTGATAACGCAACAGAAGGAAGGGAGAAAAGAAGCTATGGGACGGGGGGGGGGGGGGGGGGGGGGGGGGGGGGGGGTGTCAACACAGTAGGTGCTGTGAGAGCCTGAGGCCCCAGAGGAAAGTGTAGTCTCGTTGGTAGAGACTACCAACATAGGGTAGACAAACATAGGGTCGTTCAGGGTGGCTAGAGAGACTGCAGCTGTCTGGTTCTGTGTTTACATGCGTCTCTCTGTGGATGCACCAGTGGGCAAACACAAGTACTTTTTTTTTTTTTTCCTGAGACAAAGTCTCTTGTATCTCACATTGGCCTTGAACTTGCTATGTAACTGAGGAAAACCTCGAAGTTTTCTTCGTCCATTTCTCGAATGCTGGGATTACAGGCGTGCACCAGCATTTCTGGTGTATGGAGTGAACCCAGGGCCTTCTGCATGACATATAGGCACCCTACCAACTGAGCTGCATGTTCAGCATGCATTTAATGGCAGGCGCATAAGGGGCCTGGTAGGCCATAGTGAGGCTCTGGGATGCAGTCCGAGGACTTAGCCATCAGGGGCTTTGGGAGTAAGGAAAGACGTGCCACCATAACACGCAGTCCACAAGGAGGCATCCAGGTCCTGAAGGGCAGTTTAAAGGTAAGGAACACAGGGATTGCTGTAGATTGAACGGAGGGTGTAAGGGATATGTTCTTAAAGATGGTGCCAAAGCTTTGACCTCAGCCATGAAGCTGACTGGACGGAGGTGGTGCTTAGATAGGAGGCACAGGCTGGCTTGGACTGACCCGCTCTGTCAGTAGGAAACTTAAGAGGAGGAGCTAGCATGCAGCTGGCAGAAGATACTTAAAGCCACAGATTTACTTATGGAGTATAGCATGGGTACCAAGGCCTGTGACCAACCTACCACAGCCTGTCCCAGCTGGGACTTCCTTATCCCAGGAACCCACATAAGTTCCACCCTAATATTCCTCCCACATATACACTGCCTCTGCCAGAGAGGAAGCTGAGGTTTGGAGACCTGAAATCGTTTTCCCAAGTCACACAGCCTTGCTGAGATCAGAGGTGTGCTCAGCCCTCTGATCCTCAAGCTGTCTCATCCCTGGTACAGAGCTGGCCATAGCCTTCACAAACAGGCCCTCCTAAGGCAGGAGGCTGGCTGAGTTGACCTTGGACGAGGCTAGGTGAGCCGCACCAGGGCAGCCTGCCCACCTCCCTGGGCCAGGCTCCAAGTGACTCAGGCCTTGCCTCTTCTCACACTCCAGTTGGAAGTTGGCAGCAGGACGTTCCGGGCCTGGCTCCCCAGGCCCTGGGGGAGGACAGGTATGGAGTTTATGCTTCCAGGTCCTGAGGTTACCCACACCCATTTGCTCAGGGAGAGGTCTAACGGGCCCAGCAGGTTTGGTTCACTTCCTCCATCACAAGCTCATCAGGGATCCCTACCTTCCTGTTTTCTTGCCCACACTAGCAGAGGGTTCAAAGAGGTGTCCTGCTCTCTCCAAGGTCACATAGCCAGGTCTGGGGCAGTGCCAGCAGACCTCCCCCAATGCTGTCTGGGTCATGTTTCCTTTGATGGAATGTCCTAAACCCAGGCACACATGGCTGCATTTCTCAGGCTCCTTGGCTCTTAGCCATGCAAGCCTTACTTGGCATTGTAGCTCTTGGAGGTTGGATGCTAATTCTGGTTTTTCTACCTACCTACTAGCTGTGTGGTTTTGGACAAGCTTCTTGACTTTTCTGAACTAGTTCCTACCATTCATTTTACGATAGAGATGGGCTGGAGAATTATAGTAAATATGAAAGGAGCTTCGCTAAAGGTGATACGAGAAAGTGCCAGGCACAAGTTCGGCTGCGTGCCTCCATTCTTTCATGAGTTTCAAACCGCTTTTCATTTGAGCAGGGTTTGTGTGCTCAAAGGTAGTGTGACTTGGTGACTGTTTTCCCCGGCCTCAGGCTGGGTTAAGTTTAGCAAGGAGCAGAGGGGACGATATACTCCTCTGAAAACTAGCCGCTACCTGGTACCGATTGCAGCAGCCTGGCTGTTGGAGGTCTCTGAGTCTTGGCTGTCCATCAAATCCCGTTTCCCTGGCTTCCTATTTCTGAACTACTTTCTCCAAACCCACAATGCTGCCTCTGTGGAAAGATCTAGGCTTTTCCAGTGTTGACTCCATATTCTTGAGCTGTCTGCCTCTTCAGCTGTACTGGAGGGGTATGGGGTGGCACAATTAGGTGGGCAGGTTTGGTGGTCACCTGAACTGGGGCGTCTCCTGCTGCCTCAGCCTCAGGACCTGGCTTGAGCTGGGAGAATCTACATAAGCTTCAGTGATCTGGAGGGATTCCTGGGTTGATAGCCAGGGGCTGGGAAAGAGCTCCCATAGCCTGCCTTCCTCCCATAGGGCAGTGCAGCCACACAAACCCTACTCCAGCCTCATGGGGCAGTCTGCGACATTCCGACATTCCTTCCGGCCCAGGCTGAGGACCAGTTTGTTTCCTTTGCATGGAAACAGTGTAAGCAACCCCCTAAGAGGAGGGCCCTGGGCAACAAAGGGACAGGACTTCCCACAGGAGAGTCAACAGTAGATTCCAGAATGCCTCTCAGGGGTGTCTCGGCACAGACACCCAGCACCCAGGAGACCTGTCAGAAGGGGTTCACGAGATAAGTATAAGCCCATCATTTTTCTCCTTTCTTTTCATGGAGTTGCTCTTGGCAGAGTGACAACCCTGGCCTGTAATCTTTCCGGCTGAGTGCACCAGGGGCAGGGAGATTGGGGCTGTGCTCTCAAGGGCCTTCACCGGAGCCTCTGACCCTATGTGTAATGTCATCAGGGCTTGGCTTCTGGGGCCTGGTGGCCCAGAGGTTAGAGGCCTCATGCAGGCCCCCAGGGAAACACTCCTAACCGAACCACTGAATTGCCTCAGACTTCCTACTGTAGGGGCAAGCAGAAGGAGAGAGGAGGCCGTATGTACTTGGCAACTTTCTTGGGCTCATTTTTATAACCAAATCCATAGACTGATCATCTGAGGCCACCCTTATTTCTCCTAGGGACAGGGCTTTGGCCTCCCTTGGCTGTGACTCGCTCCTCTGAGCAGGCAGGAAATAGAGGGTGTGAGATGGTCAATCACGGTTCACTCAGTTGACAGGCTACTGCTCAATCATGTAACATGATGAGATGGGTCTCTGTGTTCTAATGTGGGGAGATGCCCACAGTGTGCCACTGAGTAGATAAAAGAAGAGGTGTACTGGAATTTATGGCTTAGTCACACAGGAAGATAAGCTCATGCACGTGGTAGCACGTGCAAGGATCAAACACCTACACATGATCTCATTAAATAAGTTCTCTCGGGGCAGGAAGGGACCTCAGTGTCCACTGGCTATTCAGAACCTGTGTGCCTGTGATTTTCCACCTTCAAATCCAACCTGCTAGGTGGGTCTAGTAGATAGATGGCTATAATTTCAGCACTTGGATGGTGAAGGCAGGAAGATTAGGAGTTCAAGACCATCCTTAGCTACATTGTGAGTTCAAGGCTAGCCTGGACTACACGAGACCCCATCTTTTTAAAAACAAACAAACAGAATGACAGCAAGATGGCTCAGCAGGTAAAGGCACTTACCAACATGACTGATGATTTGAGTTTCATCTCCAGGGCCACCATACTCAGCTTCCCAAAACTATCCCAAAGAACTCTGTGCATCTAAGTCTTGTTCACATTCCATCCCAAACCCGTGCTGGGAGGAGAGAATTAACCCCCACGAGCTGGTCCTCCGACCTCCACCTGTGTGCCACCCCTCCACAAAATAAATGTATATTTTAAAAAAGTTTTAAAATCCTAATCCAACCCACCTCCCTAGAAATAGGCATGACCCACACTAGGGCTCCTTGAGGATGTTCCACGTCATTTTGAGGAACGGGAGGAAGTAAGGCGTTTGGAACTCAGTGCAGTAGGCAGTCAAAGCCACTTCCAGAGTTTGAGATCTGGCCTAAAGGTGCCACATCAATGGCATTGATGGATCCTCCCATCCTGGGTGAGGTGGCTCCCCACTATCCCATCTTCCCTGCTTCCCTATGACCTTGTCTTTCCTGTCATGACAGTCAGCGTGTGGCCACTCTGACAAGGGTTTGCTCACATGACAGTTTCTCCATCAGCCGTTAAGGCCATGGCTCCCAGCCTAGAAAACAAGAGACTAGGTTGACTCATCAAGCTTAAGAAACCCTTAACGGAGCTGCCTGTGGTGGCCGTGCGCCAGGGAGGCAGGGGCAGGAGGGATCGTGAGCGTGAGGACAGCAGGGCTACAGAGGGAGACCCGGCCACTTTTCTACAGGGTGCTAGGATGACTACTCCTTGAGATAAGATGGAGAAAGTCAGGGCCAGATCTGGGGCTTGTTTTTAACTTTATATTGCAGCGTCTGTACATGAGCGCGCCTACATGTGCGGGTCAGAGGACAGTTTGTAGGAGTCGGTTGTCCCCTCCCACCACGTATGTCCCAGGGATTGAACGCAGGTCATCGGGCTCTGTGGCAAGTACCTTTTCCCACTGAGCTATCTCACCGGCTCCAGGGTTTGGTTTTTTGGGACCAGTTCTCTAATTCAGGCTGGCCAAAGCCTTCAAGGATGACCTTGAACTCCTTGTCTGCCTCCCAAGTGCTGGGATTACATTCATGCCTTACCAGGTCAGTTTTTATTCTGGGGTGGGGATTGAACTGAGGGTTTCATGCATGTGAGACAAAGACTCCGTGCAGTGAGCTGCGCCCCTGAACAGAGTGCTTTCAGACATCTGGCTCTGTCCTTTTTCCACACTAACAGCGGGGTCGCCGTGGTTACCATTTCAATGCCAAGAGGGCTGGGTGGTGTTCTGTTGTTTCAGAGCCTTTGCTAGCCTTGAGGGCCAGCTAGCTTGACTGTGGCAGGGAACTGGGTTTGGGATGGAATGTGAACAAGACTTAGATGCACAGAGTTCTTTGGGACAGTTTTGGGAAGCTGAGTATGGTGGCAAGTGCCTGTAATCCCAGCCCTTAGAAGGCTGAGGCAGGAGGATTAAGAGTTCAAGATCAGCCAAGCAACAGTGGCTCATGCCTTTAATCCCAGCACTCAGGAGGTGCAGAGGCAGGCAGACCTCTGTGAGCTTGAAGCCAGCCTGGTCTACAGAGGGACAACTGGGGCTTCACAGAGAAACTCAGTCTTGAAAAAAACAAAGCAAACAAACAAGAGTTCAAGACCAGCCTCAGCTATACTTCAAGTTTGAAGCCAATATGGGCTAAAGGAGACCCTATCTCAAAACCACCACAAAAATGAAAACTAAACAAAGAAATGAGTAGGAAAGAATATGCATATATTTTTTCCTAGACTCATTTATTTACATATTAATACGCACAAAGCCCTGGATTCTATCCCCAGGGCCTAAACTAGGCTAGATATGACAGCTGGAGGAAGGACAGAGCCAAGCAGTCTCCCTGGGCTGGGTAGGGGTCACCCTCATTACCTAACAGCCCACCACTAAAGAGTTCAGGTCTGTTTGCTTCTGCTCCTGATTCTGTCCCTCCTTTCAGGTGACGCCATCAGGTGGCAGGATGACTCCAGGATGCGGATGATCCGCAGTCCAGCTACAGCCTGGCCGAAGTCCGTATGCCGCCGCCACCCCAGCCCCTGTCCCCTAGCCCGGGCCTTGCATTCCCTCCGGGCGTTTCTGTGGACAGAGAAAGCACAGGAGTGAGTCTTCTCAGCCCCCTAAGCAAGCAAGCGGCCGACGGAGGGACCCTAGGCCGGAGGCTCCTGAGCTTGTCGGAAACATTCTCCCGCAGCGGCTCCACAAGATGACCAGCCTGTTCCGCAGGAGCAGCAGCGGCAGCGGTGGTGGCGGTGCCACCGGGGCTCGCGGGGCCGGGGCCGGGGCGGGGGCGGCCGGGGACGGCAGCGCCGCCCCTCAGGAGCTCAACAACAGCCGCCCGGCCCGCCAGGTGCGCCGCCTCGAGTTCAACCAGGCCATGGACGACTTCAAGACTATGTTCCCTAACATGGACTACGACATCATCGAGTGTGTGCTGCGCGCCAACAGCGGCGCGGTGGACGCCACCATCGACCAGCTGTTGCAGATGAACCTGGAGGCGGGTGGCGGCGGCAGCGCTTACGAGGACAGCTCGGACTCGGACGACAGCATCCCACCCGAGGTAGAGGCAAGGCCGGGACAATTCAAGAGGCACGGGGGTTGGGTGGGTGGGTGGAGCTAGCTGGCTTCCAACCAACAGGCATAGGAAACTTACGATCAGGCACTGACCCATCTTATGGGGAGCACCATGCAGTCATTCAGCAAACACCCAGCGAGCAAGCACAGACTCAGTGCTTTGCTGAGGATAGTACAAGACCATGGGCTAAGGTCATCAGAATTAGGGTGCTTGTTTAAAATGTGGGTTCATGGGCCCCACTGCTTTAACACTTTGACCCTTCAGTTCCAAGCCTGGTATATATTTGTTCCTGTTTTTTAGAGACAGGGTTTCACTGTGTAGCCCTGGTTGTCCTGAAACTGGCTCTGTAGACCAGACTGGCCTGGAACTCACAGAGATCCACCTGCCTCGACCTCCCGAGTTCTGGGATTAAAGACATTCAACACTATGCACAGTAATTCAAGAAAGGCTCTTGAACGGCGGTATCACCTTAAGCGGACAGATCAGACAATGTTTTTGGAGCTCACAGGCTAGTGTGGATTTGGCACAGGAGTTGGACCAGAGGTGAGAGGCACACGCAGAGGAGAGACACAGGAAGAGCAGAGAAAGGAGGTGAACCGGCCCCAGGACCAGCTGTCAAGATTCCAGAGGGGGGTGAGAGACCAATAAAGCTGACCTCACCCTCCTCCACTTAGAAGAGTGGGGTTGCACCCCTACAGACAGGGAGCGGGGGAGAGATGCAGAGTGAGGAGCACCTGGGACGATTATTTCAGCTCCAGCCCTAAGGTGCACCCAAGCAGGGAGCCATTCCCAGGGTGGAGGGCACTGCCAGCCACAGTGAATCAAGGCCTACCGCTTGGGGGTGGCTGGTTTTCTCTGGCTGCAGTTAAGAGTTCTGTGCCCAACCAACCTCCAGCCTAGAAAGACGTGCAGGGCTCAAGGCAAAGGGGTGAGGCAGGTGGTCAGGGCCAGAGCGTGGATGAGACTGGAAGATGGAAAGGGACTCTACTCTTTTCCTTCCCATTCTGAGGGTCAACCCAGGACCTCATACATGTCCTGCAAGCCACCATCACGGAACCACAGCCCGCAGCCCTCTTTTCACAGAGCACCCCCCAGGGAGCCCCAGGCAGCCCCAGGGAGCCTTGCGATTACTCTGTGGCTCAGGCCAACCTTGTACTTTTCCATCCTCCTGCCTCAGCCCCTTGGGTAGGTGGGATGACAGGCATGCTCCACCAGGCCTGGATGAATGCCACTCTCTCCAGAGTCCAGCCTGTGCTGGGCATCCCAGCTGCTTCGGAAATACATCCTTTCTGCCTCTCAGATGTGATGAGAAGGGCCAGCCACCCCTGTTTACGGGAGAACTGGGGACCAGATTTGATTGACCGAAGGCTGTGGCCTTCTTGCTCCTCCTCCATCTCCCTTCCTCCCTTAGTGAGTGCTTCTAGGACTCCCTCTCCATGGAGGAGAAGCTGTGCCGGCGACAATGACATATAACAGTATGATATAATCTCCCCAGGAACAAAGCAGGGGAATGTTTGCAATGCGTAGATGTTACTAGTATTTGTGTGTACATGAGTGTGCGTATGTGCATGTGTGTGTGTGTGTGTGTGTGTGTGTGTGTGTGTGTGAGCCAAAGATCAACTTGGAAACTTGGAGTGTTGCTTCTCAGGAGCCAGCAATCTTGTTTCTTGGGGAAGAGTCTCTTGCTGGCAAGGCTGGCTAGCTAGGGAGCTCCAGGGATAACTCCTGTCTTTATATCCCCTGCACTGACAAAGCCCCCAGCCCAGCTTTTCACAGAGGTGCTGTGTTTCAGGACACACCCAAGCTTCTGTGGCAAGCACTGTCCTGACTGAGCCATCTCCCCAGCCCTGTTGACGCTGTCTTTGCATGGCTCTCTGTCACCTTTTCTTCTGTCACACACCGCTTTGACCTGCCCGGATTAGCCAATGGAACGAACCCTGGAAAATCCAGAGCCTTCTCATTGGAAGGAGGTGTGGACACATGTGTGCGTGCGTAGGTGCCTTCTTTCAGTGTGAACTGGGAAGCTTTCTGCATGCTTTGACTCTCTATGGTCCTGTTGATCCCGACAGTCTGGCGGGCGGGACATTTCTCGCTTTGCCCATAAATGCCATGGCATCAGAGACCTCTGCCAGGCTTTCCATAGCCCCAGGCATCATGTCCTGTACTGCACTTGTGTTCCCAGCAGCCTACCGTTCAGGTCGAGCCCCTTCTCGGAGGCTCTCCTGGGCTGTCTCCCTTCGTGGGCCCATCAGCAGGCAGCTCCTGAGCCAGTGCAAAGTGCTGCAGGAAATTTATGAGCAGCAGTAAGAATGACAATAACTGCTGACTGGAAAAAGCCCCCCTCTCCAGAGGCTGACGGATGGTGGGCTGGCCCCGGGGATATCCTTGTCATAGAGAAATGGCTCCTGTCAGATAAACGGCCCAGACCTTGCCTCCCTCCCAGCCTCTGGAACACCTGGCAGGCATTCATCACCCACACTCAGTTAGGCCAGGAGGCCATAGAACCTCTAACACCTTTAGAGCCAGGAAAGCTCCTTGTGTCTGGAAAGATGAGGGGTGGGCTGAAAGACGCTAGGGTTTCCCTCTGGGACTACAGAGCTTCCTTTCTGGAGCTGACCTGTTTACCCAAAATCAAGCTGCACTGTAGCATACAAGCATACATTTACAGGGCCTGCCTGACCCCTGTGCTCCGTCAGTCTTGCGGCACACCACAAATCAGAGGAAACCCACGGAACTCTCCTCTCCCTCTCACCAGACCAGGCCTGGACTGTGTCCCTCAGAGCCAAGGACTGTCAAAAATGGGGGTGTGTGACCTGAGAGAGGTAGCACCCAGTCCTCCGGGCTCCTAGGATCTTGCTCAGCACCTCCTGTGCTAGGCGGCGGTGGGGTGGGGGGGTTGTCACTGTGGACCAAGAGCCCATTCCTTGCACTGTTCCCTTTGCCTGGTGTTCCTGTCCTTCCTGGTGGAATGTGGGGTGAGCAGCACAGTGGCCCGGCCAGCCAGGCAGCCTCATTCTTCTACTTCTGCAGAAGCATCTGTTTAAATACTTTCTGCCTCACAGGAAAGGACACGCATTCCAGGGCGGGAGCCTCCTTGGGTCAGGCTGGTGTGTGCGTATGTGTGTGTGTGTGTGTGTGTGTGTGTGTGCGCGCGCGCGCGAGTGCTCACTGCCAGGGTGTCCCTGCCAGTCTCCCTGTCCTGGGTGTGGCTGGACTAGGGGTCAGATGTATCAGTAGAACCTGGACTGGCAGAAGCAGAGACATAGCTTTAGGGGTGTCTTCTAGAAACCCAGGGTTCAAGAGAGGCTGGGACTCAGGGGTTGAGTCAGGCAGGGCCCCTGAGCCCTTCCCAGGTTCTTTGGTGGCTGAGAAAGTGAGAGCAGAGCTGTGGGGGCAGGGTGGGTCGAGGTGTGTGAGAGGGATCAATGAGGATGCTTCTGGGGGTGGTGGGAGTAGGGTGGGGGCGGGGTAGATTCATATCCACCAGATCTCAGGAACACAGCCTTTGCCCTCCCTACCCTGAATCTTTCCCTGCCCTGCTTTCTACCTCCTGGGTGGAGAGAAAGATCCACAGGGACAGTAGGCTACTGGGCTGCCCACCCTGAGCATCTCCCCTGGGTGTTCAGGCAGCCTGAGGGAAGGGTGTGACCGTCAAGCCCAAGGTCCAGGTTGAAGATTCCAATCTAAAGCCAGTGGGTGGTTTTTGCCAGCCTCAGCCTCACAGGGCCTGTAATCTGAGCCACTCAGCAGGCAAGGTTGCGTGTGTGTGTGTGTGTGTGTGTGTGTGTGTGTGTTCAGAAGTGTTATGTCCTGCTGTCCTTTGAGCGTGACATGGCTGTTCCCATCTTAGAACAGCTCTGACTTCCCACAGCAGCCCTTCAGCAAGCTTGGGCCTGTTCTCTCACAGAAGGCGGGAAGTGTCATTAGAGAACTGTCACCTGTGATTTTAGCCACTCCCTCCCTCCTACAGCCACCTCCCTGCTGTACACATTTCTGCCCCAGCTGCAGGTGGATTTCAGAGATGCTGGAGCAGACAAGAGGTTAGCTGATTCAGGGACTCTGGAGCTTTCAGGAGGTTGTTACCCATGCTGGGCTGGGCCTAATAGGATACAACTGGATTTTTTTTTTGGGGGGAAAGGGGGTGTCCCTCCCTCTAAGTAACTCCTAGACCTGGGTGAGATCACTTCTTTGGGCTGTCATCGGTGTCCTCTCTTGTTTACATCTTCCCGAGAGAAGTAATGAGACAGGTTTGAGGCCAGCCAGGGCAACTTACTAAGACCTTATTTCAGAATAAAGGTAAAAAGAGCTGGGCTGTAGCTCTGTGATAGAACACTTGCTTCGTGCATATGCAGCTCTGGGTTCAATTCCAGGCACCACAAAACAAGTAAAACACACCTAGGCCTTAATTTTCTTATTGGAATAATGGGACTTAACTTGCCAGACTGTTTGGGTTTAAGATAATAGAAGGTATAAGCGATGTCATCATCAGAGAAGAATACAGGCCTATGGAGGACACAGGTCTCAAGCGTGCAGTCCAGTGAGGATTCACAGCATGTTCCTACCACGTGCTAGGCACCCAGATCAATACACCTCTTCCTCCATGGGCCCCAGGGCCCCCAGCGCCTCCTGCCACCCTCACTGTCTTGCTGTGTTTGCTTTGCTGCTCTTGAGCATTGCTTAGACAGATGCTGCCACCATGAACGACCTTCGGGGCAGTGTGCCATCCTGTTTGCTGAGTGTAATTGAGGGGCCGTGGTAGCCACGTGTTAGCGTCAAGGCGTAAGGCTGGCCTCGCAAAGGAGCAGCTCCCAGCAGCAATGCGCAAGACTCCCTAGTACGCGTCCGCGCCCATACCTGGCCGCTGAGGTTCAAGGATGGAGTATTCAGGTCCTAACCAATAATTACTACTGTGTCTCTCTCTGTCGTCTCCGACTTAGATCTTGGAAAGGACCTTGGAGCCCGACAGCTCTGAGGAAGAGCCCCCGCCTGTGTACTCGCCTCCGGCCTACCACATGCACGTGTTCGACAGGCCTTACCTGATGGCTCCTCCAACTCCGCCTCCCCGGTGAGAGTCCTCTCTGTCTCAGGGCACAGTGGGTAGAGATGGAGATGGGAGTCGGGGTGGCGTTAGACACATCGGGGAAACCGGCTGTCCCCCACCAGAGACTGTCCTACCAACTGCAAGGTTCTCCCGTGGCAAGGGACATTGTAGCCCAACCCCCAAGGAGAACTTACAGAACTTCCACACCATGGGGCTGGGGAAACGGCTCTCAGTAGGCAGAGTGCTTATTGCACAACCATGGGCTTGAATTCCTAGCCCTCTGCACGTAAAAGCTGGGCATGGCAGCCCACATCTGCAACACCACAGCCGCAGTGGCAGAGGCAGGCAGTTCCCGGGGAGGTCAGTGGCCAGCTGATTTAGCGAGTCAGTAAGTGGAAGGCGAGGGAGATGGCTGCCGGTAAGGTGCCTGCAGAGGAAACAGGAGGACCCGAGTTTGGAACCCACATAAAATAGTTGGCTGTAGCAGCATATGCCTGTGGGATGCAATTAATTAAATATGGTACAGCCTCCGGGTTTTGGGAATGTGTAATCAAGGGAGAGGCAGGGTAGGCAGCTGAGCTCCTGAAATATTGTATTGACTCTTCCCTCCCTCGGCCTGTGGACATGTTAATGGTTAATCATTGTGCGGTCTCCTGCTGTAGCGAGAAGAACCTCAGAATCCCTCCCAACCCAGCACCCCCAGGTAGCCACCAGTCACCCGTGGGATGACTCTTTGTCACCCCTGGGCTAGTGATGGTGAGGGGATTTTAAGCAATGTGAAGCTGTGTGGTTTTCTGGTCTGATGTTTGGTTCCTAGTTTGATGACTGGAGACAGGAGAGTGGGCAGCAAGGTCCCCAGAGACTTGTCTCAGCTTTGAGACTCCTGTTATTTGGAAGCTTAAAATGAACCTGGCTGCCAGCAGTGTCCATTGCATGTGAGGTGTTTGCGTTTCTGGGCCCTGTGTTTGGCGGCTGCTGGAGCCTAGGTATGGTCACTTTGTTCTGCGGCCGCTGTTTCTTAGAATGACAAACTGGGGGACCTGCTGTTGTAATCCCCTCTCCCCACGCGAGCCATCTTAGGAGCCCCAGGACAGTGGTAGCGGGGAACCTGACTTGGAGAGCCAGTAAGAACAGCTACCATTTGCTAAGTACCCTTCAAATGCCAGAGACATGCCACTTCAGGTGGCAAGCACTGCAGTCGCCCATTTTACAGCTGAAGATGCTAGATGCTGAGCCTCAAGAGAGGGTCACTGCTGTCTGCAGGGCTTGGAGCTGGGGCGTCCACCCAGGTCACCTGACTTTCAGGCTGTCTGACTTCATTGCTGTGTCCTCACCTCCCTGCTAAGAAGTTAGACTGTAGCTTAGAGGGCTGAGGAAGTCTGGAAAGTTAGCTGGGTGGGGTAGAGGTCCTCCATTGAGTCAGGGACAGGGGAGAACTAGGACCTGTCACAAGTGGTACAGAAGATGCAGGCTCGGGGAGCAGGAGTTAGAGGCCTGGGTGAGAAGAGCACAGAGGTCACCCTGTGGCAGCTTACCAAGATCAGGGGTAAATGGGTTTCCTTTGACTTCTGGTGGGTTGGTTTTTTCTGGGAGGCTGGGCAGGGAGAGGCAGGGTTTTGAGACAAGGCTGCTTTGTCTAGATTTACCTGTCCTAAAACTGATGTTGTAAACCAGGCTGGCCTAGAACTCACAGAGATCTGCCTCTCAAGTGCTGGGATTAAATGTGTGGGCCACCACCAACCCGACTGACTTGTGTATTGTTACTGTTTTCATATCCTCTATTTCATTTGTGTTGTTGTGACCAAAAAAAAAAAAAAAAAGGCAAGGACTTGAGAGAGGAAAGATTTGGGCTCATGCGTTTGAGAGGGATTTTAGTCCGTTATGACAGGGAAGGCATAGCAGAGCTGTTCTGTCTGCAAGAGGGCAGGGCCCTGGGCCTTTCCGTCACTGTGCATCGGGAAGCAGAGAGAGCTGGCCCAGAGCCAGAGGCAGGCCGGCCCCTAGTGACTTACTAGATCTAGGTCCTACGCGTAAACCTTCCCAAAACAGTGCCACCAGAGGCTAGGTATTGAAACATACAAGCCCGTGGGGGACGTTGCAGATCCAAACTATAACACTTATTCCAAAGAACTTAAATATTTTCAATTACAATTTGTGTGCGTGTTGTTTGTCCTCTGGGCCCCTCTTCTGTAGACCAGAATGTAGGGAGCCCACATGAGGGCTCATAAAAGCTGCTACCCAAGCTACGGCCTTAAGTCCTAGCAGTAGTCTAGCGAAACTGAAGACCGGAATGTGTTCCAGGTGGAAGAAATGGCACGTGTGAAGGCCTGGAGGCAGGGACAGGGGGCCATCTCGGGGAACTCCTGGAACTGTAGTGCACCAGAGTGGGTGGAGAGGAGCACAGGGGATTCTCCACTCTTGGTCCTGGGGACCCAACAGGGCTTGCAACTACAGGAGACTGTGGGGGACAAATCACAGCAGGCCACTGGGAGGCTGGTATTCTAAAAATCTTTGGCTGCTGCAGGTTAGATTTGAGAGGGGGTACAGGTCAGCCCCTTTCTGTCACCATGTCTCCAGGATGAGCCTGGAGATAGGGCAGAGTTTCAGAGCTTAGATACTGTCCTGCTAGGCCCAAGGAGGGCAGGGCCATCCCAGAGAAACAAACCTGGAATCCTGGGATCCTTTGCTCAGGTTTTGCCTGAATGACGCAGCTATGGGACCTGTGACAGGATCTGGTCCACTGTGAACTGCACATCCAGACTGCACTAAAACCACTTCTGGAAAGGCCCATCTCTGAAATCCTTCCTAGCTAGGTCCAACATCCCATGGATAAGCAGGGGCCCCCTGCCGCCTGCTCAGGTTGAAGTTCTAGTTTGGGGTCTCCAAGGGCTTACTTAGTCCCTGAAGATCCTCTTGGCCTCTGTCTCCTTCCCCCTCCCCGACTGCAGTCCTTCCCTCCATCTGCCAGAGTCTCAGAAGCCCCAATACCCCTCCACAGGCCGCCTGCTGTTTTTGTGTTGAAATTGCAGCCTTGGAAGTTTTGCCTCACAGCTCATTTCTGACATTCCTTTCCAACCACAACGGAGTTGCTGGGCTCCCTGGGCTGGGCCAGCCCCCTGCAGCTGAGGGTGACTTCATCATGAGGCTTGGAAGAGACTGAGCCAGTCTTTTCTCCAGGACCTCAGCTCGGCAGCCAGGGAGACAGAAAGAAAAGAAAGTCAGTCAGCTCTTACCCCACAATGTCTAGAAGGGTTTTGGTCAGAGTTTGGTCAGAGTTTCCTTGTGCAGCTACCCTGGGTGGCTTCCAGGTGTGACCTCACCCCAAACGAAGCCTGGACTGGACAAGCCTTCTTCCATTATGGCTGGAAGTGGTGTCTGTGGGACTGACAGAAGGCCCTCGGGAGGAAAACAGAACTTGGGACAGGGACACAAGTGGCAGAGCATTGTGAAGGAAACCTGGCCTGGGAATTTGTGTCCTGGGTTCCCCTGCAGGCGCCTCTCTGGAGATCCCTGTGTGTCTCCAGGCTGCCCCTAGCACTTAGCAGCTGGTTATCCATCTGCTGCTGCCCCCGCCCTCCCCTCATACCCACTGGGCCACCAGCCCAAAATAGAAAAGGAAAGGAAGTTATTTCCACAAGTTAGCAGCAGACGGAAAAGCTCCCCTCCAGTGAGGGGGTGGAGGGATTCCTGGAGCTGGAGGCCAAAATCAAAGCCAGGCTGAGCCCAGCATGGCCCCCACCACCCCACAGCCGCCTGCTCTCTCCATGTGTCATTTCCCTGATTCAGCAGGACACGTGTCCTGCGGTTGCCACGCAGCAGGCCGCTGAGGAGCTGTGGAGCTCCTGGCCCAGCTCCAGCCTTCTTTCAGGCCTGGGCTTGAGGATGGAGCCTGGGGTCAGGGCAGCCAGGCCCTTCTTCCTCTCCTGGCCTGGCCTGGCTGTCTGGCACAGGTACACCTTGCCTGGGAAGAGAGGCTCCATAGAACCCTTGGAAACAAGAGCCTAACGCTGGCCTCCAGCTGTTCAAGCTGCAGCTTGTTGGGGGTGGGGGGACTCCCAGAACCTTGGCAGGAGGTCAGCAAGGTCTAGATTTGATAACAAGACACCAGGGGCCAGAACAGGGTCTCTCCTGTGCTCCTCCTTTTGCTGGCTGTAGTTGAGCCAGAATGGGAACTCAGATCTGCTTTATTGTCTAGGAATCTTGGGAGCTCCCTTCCTCAACAAACAAGGACAGGATGGACTGTTGGCAGGCTGCTTGTATCTACCACTTAACAGTTGGGCACTGTGCCAGCTAGAGACACAAGCACAGAAGCGTCTGAGAACCACACCCCCACACCCCATCTGTAGGGGACATCCATAAAGTCTGTATCTAAATCCACAACACTGACATTTACACCACAGACACTGAGTGACAGGAAAGTAGCCTAATCCCAAGGCCAAGGCTGAGGAGTTAAGGAAAGCAGAGCTGACTGAGGGGAGCCACAGTGATGACAGGGAGAGATCCCCACTGGCCCTCGCCTGGCTGCCATCCTTCTTGGCGTACGTACCATTTCCCTCATTCAGCAGTACGCATGTCTCTGCCTTCGTCCTGAAGGCAGTGTGGGCTCAGGACACTCTGAGTAAGACCTCCATCTGTCCCAGGGCCTGTGATGAGCCAACAGAACTGTAGCTAGTAGGCCTGTTCTCTCACCTCCCATCCCCCAGGATTGATGTCCTGGGCTCCGGACAACCTGCAAGTCAGAGGCGCTACAGGAACTGGAACCCACCCCTGCTGGGCAACCTCCCAGATGACTTTCTCCGAATCCTGCCCCAGCAGGTGGACAGCATTCAGGTAACCAGCTACCTTAAACCTCCACGCCTACCTGCCTGTCCAGCCTCTCTTCTGGGCTAAGTGACAATCTGTTGCTTCTTGGTTTTCAAGCCCAGGCAGAGGAACTGTTTCTGTAGATAAGAGTTTGTAAGAAAAGAAGATGAATCCACAGCCTGGCTTCCTGTCTGGCCTGATGGTTCCAACTGGGCCCTGGGAAGGTGGCTGCCTGAGGAGGACCTCAGGACAGAGGGAGGGAAACGCTGTAGCTAATGGTGGGGCCCAGGGCTGCGCCGCCTTCCTCTTTCTGGGACCTTCTTTCACATGTACTGGTGCCTTGCTATTGGGGGCATGCAACTGGTGTAGGCAGGTGATTGAGCTGTTTGCAAATTGATTTTTAGGAGGATTTAGGTTCCAGAAGCAGGAATGAGGTGACTCTAGGTTGGGAGGAAACGTCCTCTTGATGTCCTTCCTGCTTCTGAGGCAGAGACAGTTCTGAGCTGTCCCAGTGAATGCTGGCTAATGACTGGGTTCCATTGGGAGGAGGGAGCTATAAGATGGGGCTGGAGGATTCTGGGAAGGCGCACATGTGGGTACAGGTGTACATGGATTTAAGTAGGTGATCTGTATGCTCGCTCTTCCTCAGGGTCACCCCGGGGCCTCCAAGCCTACAAGTGGAGAGGGAGGCCCACCTCCCGTGCCAGGGCCTGCTGCCTGCGACCAGGACAGCCGCTGGAAGCAGTACCTGGAGGACGAGAGAATTGCCCTCTTCCTGCAGAATGAGGAGTTCATGAAGGAGCTGCAGCGCAACCGTGACTTTCTCCTTGCCCTGGAGAGAGGTGGGCACTGAGCCTCGCTGTGAAAGAAGAGAATGATGGGCAGTAGCCTCAGGCCTCAGGAGGCGTTGTGCTGGAAGCCAGCATGCCCGGCGCTTTCTAACCTGCATATAAGCTTGGCCCTCCCTGGGTCTCGAAGGAGCTCCAGGATACAGCCAGTAGGGGGGTTGGGAACATCTGGGAAACCACAGGAAAAAGGGTGTGTCCACTTGGGCCTTCTCCTCTGCCCTGCATATCTGTTTGAGCTCAGCATTAGGGTTGGCTTGAATGACAGGGGGAGGCATGCTGCCTTTCCCATGAACTTCTGGCCACAAGGCAGAAGTGTCTCGTGCCCAAGGACAAGGTGCCAGAAGGGAGGCTTCCTGAATGGAGGAGGTTAGACCAGGGTATTTTCATGATGCATGGATGGGTGGATTTGCTCCCCAACCAGGCTGCCTTTTCTTTTTGAGGTAGGATTTGGAGACAGGGCTGTGGAGGTGGTGTTGTAAAGGTCACCGAGGGAGGGAGGGAGGGAATCTGATGTGATGAGGCGGGGAGGGGGAAGGAACAGATTGTACAGCTGGCATGTTGGGCTGGGGGAAGCAGACCCCACAGGCAGCATAAAAGTGGCTGGAGCCAGGCAGGCAGCGGTGGTGGGCACCTTTAATCCCAGCACTCAAGGAGGTAGAGGCAGGTGGATCTCTGTGAGTTCGAGGCCAGTCTGGTCTACAGAGGGAGTGCCAGGATTTCCAGAGTTACATATAAAAAAAAAAAAGTGTTGAAACCCCCCACCCCCCAAAAAAGGTTTGGCCTGTGCATGCAGCTGACACCTGCAAACCCCAGCATAGAGGAGGCATGAGAACCATGAGTCCCAAGAGAGCCTTTAGCTCTCTTGATCAAGGCCCTAAAATAATGTAAGAAATCAGGCTTGGATTCCCAGGAAGCTGCTAACTGTGGCATTCCAACATCTCGAATGCTTTTCAGGTGGTTGTTCTATCATCACAACCTCTTCGAGAGCTGGTAGATCCTGTGGGTGAATATTTTGTGTGTACGTGTGTGTGTACTTACGTGTGCTTTCAGGGGTTAGGCCTTCAGCAGCCTCCGATGTGCCCCCCCCCCCCGGGCACCCTGGAGTTCTCTTCCCTCATAAGAACCGTCTCCTTTTCCAGATCGATTGAAGTATGAATCCCAGAAATCCAAATCCAGCAACGTGGCAGTTGGGAATGACTTTGGCTTCCCCGCCTCTGTCCCAGGTAAGCGCCGCTGTCCTGAGAGAGAACCCACACCCCAACTTTACCGCCTGTATTGAGAGTTTAGGGGTAGACTGAGGAGACAGAGCAAGGGTGGACCTTAGCAAGCCAGAAGGGAGGCCTTCTGTGGGGTGAGATAACCGCTTCACTGAGTGGCCCTAGGTTCTTGCTGGCCTGCGAGCCGTAGGTTACCGTAGGCTGACTGACCTCCCAACTATTTCTGGATCTTGGGCTACTAGAGGACATGCTGAACCACGTAATGTCTCTTAATAGCAGCTGAGAGTAGAAAGGCCTCCGAGTCTTGTGAGGCGTGGCCTAATGAGGCTCACTGCCTAATTAGTAAGCAAAGGCAAGACATACATGTTGACTGTATCCAGTGCACGGAGGAAAAGAGGGTGAGATCAATCCAGGAAGGCCCGTTCATTCACTAAAGTAGCTGAGGATGGTCTGCTCTGAGATGTCAACTGCAGTATGCGAGCAAGAGACGTTCTGAACTTGGAGCACAGGGTGGTTTAGCAAGAACTGTCCCAAGAGGGCCAGAGAAGCCCTGTTTACAGTCTGTCCTCTAACCACGCCCAGCTTATTTCAAACTACCACCCGACTTCCCCCCAGTGCCAGCAGCACTGGGGCTGAAAGGCCAGACAGTATTGCTAGGATGCACGGGCTGAGAGCAGAGCTGAGGCTGGGAGTGTGAACAGAGGCCCTGTTTTCATACTTGGCCTCTGGATCCCCAGCCAGTTACTGCCCGGCACCCCATGTACATATTCAAAAAAGGCTCAACAGTTTTTCAGGGAGCAGAGAGAGCCTCCTTCTTACAGCTGAGCCGGGAAGGCAGGAACAGAAGGGGAAGGAGCCCTGCTAATCCCAGCTCAGAGAGAGAAAATCCCATAGAACTGATTCATAAGCAAGAGGCCAGGCGCTTAGGCCCCACCAGATGTTCATCTGGGAGTTTTTCACAGAGCTTCTCGTCCTTGATCCCAAATTAATGAGGGACACTGGGGCTGCTGAGCTGGATCAGAGGGACTCAAAGGGAACTTAGGAGGCAAGGTGACTCAGGATGAGCCAAGTTACAGGCTGGTGAGTTAAGGCTGAAGGGCGGTGAGAGAGAGTTGGGAGGCTCCCCCCAGGTGGCTCACTGGGTTCTGACTCTTACCTGAGCCCTGCTCTCCTTCCTGTCCAACACCTGGGAGGACGGGATCTGCCCAGCATTCTTGGCTCTATGTCCCCTCTGCTTCAATTCACTGGGGTTAGGGAGCACAGAGGGTCAATATTCTGCTCTGGGTGCCGGAGAAGCCTGGTTTGCGGTCCCTGGGGCCTTCCATGATGTAAAGCTCCCCACCCAGCTCATTTCAAACTAGCATCATGACTTTGAGAGTACGGGCTGTTATAGAAGCTGGGGCCCAATGCCAGCCAGCTTCCCACATGGGCAGCAGATCTTAAGACTGCCCCCATCTGCTCAGAAGAGGAAAAGGTGCCTTTGGAGAAGGACGGCTGCACTCTTGCAACTTTCCTCAAACTCCTGCGGTTAGGGAAGAAGCCTGCACTTTTGCTGTAATGAAAGGACGGACAGAAACCACCATGGAGGGGCACCCTCTGACTTACTTCCCTGGGGCCTTGGCAGCTTCTCGCTCACTCTTAGTGGGACCTCTGAGACCCAGTGGGCCTGGTCCCTTAGCAGGTGTCTCCTCCTTCCAGGAACCAGTGATACCAACCCCACTGCGTCAGAAGATGCCTTATTCAGGGACAAGTTAAAACACATGGGAAAATGTGAGTCCTGATCTTGTCCCCTCCTTCTCCCAGCTCTCTGAGGCAGGCCCCCGTGGCTTCAGAAGAGAGCTGGGCCCCTCCCCAACCTGAGGGTTTTAAATGCTATTGACTCTTGGTGAACTCAGGTGACATTTTAATCACAGGCCAGCTCCCCAGCCTTCTTTCCTTCCTTTATTCTGCAGCTTGAGTCTGGAGACAAATTAAGTTTAAATCCTCTTGAGCCAGCTGTCTGCAGAAAAATAATGCGTGTCAGCGTTCACATTCTCTGTGGTGTGAGGGCTTGGCCAAGACAGGAGTCACTGCCTGAGTCTGTTTTCTGAGGGAATGGGAGACATTTTGGGGACAGAGACCTCTTCCCACTGCCCGCTTTTTGTCATTCTCCTCTTTCCTGTTCACAGACCCATAACCAGTGGGGATGAGGCTGGGATCCTTTCAAGGTTTTATTTCAGGGGAAATTTCCGATGAGTCATGGAAATCCTGGCACCAACTGTGGAGGTGGCTGGGGAGGGGCGGGAAGGCCGTCGCAACCGGAGGCGGGAAAGAAAGCCAAGATCTGCCGCTGTTGCCTCTAGGGAAGGAATACCCGGATCTTGGACTGGAGGCAGGCCATGTACTTGATTAGTGGTGGCCTGTGCTGCCCCTGGAGGCCGACCTGGGATGGCACACTTGCTCCCTAGGTGGCACTGGTGTCTGTAATTCCTGTCACTTTCCTCTTCCCAGTCCCCACCCAAGGGGCCTGGTGCTGCCCTGGCTGCCCCCAAACCTGGAGGGAAGCCATCTGATGCTCTGGCTGGCTGGAGCACGGAGGGCTCACGAGTCTCTCTGCCCCAGCCACACGTAGGAAGCTGTTTGAGCTAGCCCGAGCCTTCTCTGAGAAGACCAAAATGAGGAAGTCAAAGAGGAAACATTTACCGAAGCTTCCGTCGTATCCTTCTGCTTGGCACTGGGTTGGGGTGGCGAGCCTTAGGAACAGTGATGGAGGTCCCAGCTGGACCCCTTGAAACTGCACCTTCCTCTGGTGTGGGATCTGTGGCCTCTCCTCCTTGCTTGGGAACCAGGACACCCTGTGAACAGCTCCTGTGTCCCTTCCCTAGGACACTGTCCTTCCTATGCCTTCTCTACTTTTGGCCTTGAGTCATCTGCACTTTGGGAGAAAGCGTGGTCCTCCTTTTGAAATCAACAAACCTCTCCCTAATTTTGCTAACTGAGCTGGCTCATAGCCACCCTCACCCCTCTGCAGCCTTGCCTCCAGAGGCCTGCTTTTCCACTTTTGGTTCTTTGAACAAAAAGATGTTTCCCTGTCTCCATATCCGAGCTCTCATCCCTGCTTATCCAAAGGAGCCCAGGGATATTGAAAGCTGAGTAGCCAAAGGGGGACGAGGAGAAAGTCACCAGAGATGGGAGCAGAATAAGGGGGTCGGGCCTGGCTAGCTGCTTGGCTGATCCCAGGAGAGGGGCCTGGGCAGTGTTAGGCAGTCTGGGGACAGAAGGGATGGTAGAAGCCTCTTGAGGTTGGCGGGTGGGAGGACAGAGCACAGGCAGACTGAATAAGTGGTGACAGTACCCACTCATCTCTGGGTTAGTTTTCCTGAGCAGTCCGACAGGCTGGGGGCTGCTGCATCGACAGCCAACCTCCTGGATGATGTGGAGGGCCATGCTTATGGTGAGGCAGGGCGGGGAACATTGAACTCCAATTTGCTTGTGATGGGCGACCCTTTGAGAGGAGGTCCCGGCTGTCTAATGTTCAGCAAGGGGGGCAGCAGTCTGGGGGACATGTCAAGGGTTGGCAGGCAGGTGGCCCGTGGAAATGTGGACCCTTGGCATGTGGTGAACACAATACCACCCCCTTCCTGTAGTCTCTGAAGGGGAGCCCAGCGTGCCAGACACTGTTCCTGGAGAATATTCTCTAGGGAGTGAGGGACAGACTGGCAGCCCTCAAAGATGGACAAGTTAGAAAGCTTCGGTCTAGCCAGGTAGTGGTGGCACATGCCTTTCCCAGCACTTGAGAGGCACAGGCAGAGACGGTCAGATTTCTGTGTGTTCGAGGCCAGCCTGGTCTACAGAGTGAGTTCCAGGACAGCCTGAGCTTGCACAGAGAAACCCTGTCTCAAAAATGCAAAAGAGAAAAGAAAAAAAAAAAAAAAGAAAAGAAAACTCTAGCCTGAAGGCCTTGAACTTTTTTTATCCAGTCCCTTCCAAAGGCCACAAGGGGTCAGAAGACCTCGCTAGGCCACCCAAGGATGTGCCTTCATCACAGGCTCTTAAAGGGTTAGGAGACACCCAGATACAGAGACTAGAAGGCCTCAGCAGTCTTCTGGATACCCCATCACCCCTATCCTACTTAATAGATTAGGAAACCAAGGCCCATACAAGAGTAAGACTTATCCAGGGCCTTAGAGCTCAGTGGTAGAGGCAGGCCAGCACAGGGTTGCCATTTGACTCTCTCACCACACACTCACGCCGCTACCTGGGGATCAGGATCCAAGCAAAGGGACAGAGTTGAGGCAGCTCCCCTGCCCAGCCTGGGGACAGGCCGGAATGAGGTTCTGCACGTGGGAGATGAGGCTTCCCTTTGCCTTTCAGATGAAGACTTCCGGGGAAGGCGGCAGGAGGTGCCTAAGGTGGAAGAGGCCCTAAGAGAAGGACAGTAAGAGGTATGGCTTGGGGCCACAGCTTGCAGGGGCAGCTTGGGCGAAGACCTTACCCCACCATGTGTCTCCTCAGGGATCCAGAAGTAGCACTGATCCTGGTTTACTTCTCCTGTGGCAGAACACAATTTCCCCCTGCAAACCAGCATATATATATATATTAAAAAATATATATATATATATATTAAAATATATATATATATATTTTAATCTCACTTTGTAGACCTCAGACTCTCAGAGATCTGCCTGCTTCTGCCTTCCAAGTACTGAGTGCTGGGGTTAAAGGCCTGTGCCACCCACTGCCCACTTTTTTTTTTTGTAATGCAGTTTTATGTAACCCCGCTACCCTTGAATGCACTGTTGATACAGACAAGGCTGGCTTTGAACTTCAGACCCTCCGGTCTCCTCTTCCCAAGTGCTGGGATTACAGACTTGCTACATCACACCTGGCTTTTAAACTTTTAAGAATTTGGTTGTTTTTTTCATTTGGCAAACAATAATCGCACCTGCCTTTGACAGCTGCCCTGAGCAGAAAAAAAAAAAAAAAAAAAAAAAAAAAAACAAATCAGCATTTAACCTTGAAAAGCTTGCAGCCCCACTGAAAAGAAATTCCAGGACACACAGCGAATATTAAGAGGCTAATGTAAGAAACATTGTGGTAGCCACGAACATGCAGAACTATGTTCAGTCTTCTGCCTAGGTTGGATGGTCAGGGATCTGCTGAAGGTCAGGAAATAGCCCCTGGAATGGCTACTTCTGTCCAGAGCCCCGGGGCTGGGCTGCCTTTCCTCCTGTCTCCCTTGTATACTCTTCTGGGGGATGTACATAGGGAATGCCAGCATCTCCTACAGAGCCTAGGCATGCCTGTCCCTCTCCGTGTGCCCCACCCCCAATGAGAAAGCTGCCTGCCCACCCATCTGCTTTGCTTGTCCAGCTGCTGTCCTGCTTCTAGCGTTCAGCATCTACTAGGCTTTCTTGAGCTGTGATGTGGCAGGTCTGTTTCCAATATGGAGGAACAGACGCTCCTCCTAGGGTAGTTGTAGAGATGAGATACCCAGGCAAGAGAGGGCACAGCCAGCAAATGTAGGCAGCACCCTCTTCCCTCTTGTCCCATGTCCACATTCTTAAGCTTTCTTCTGCTTTGTTCCCCAGGCTTTCCTCACTCACAGAGTTTCACCCCAGCTTCCCACTTCTCTGGAGTACCCAAGTAAGGGCAGCCAGGAAAATACCCACATTCCTACCCCATCTTTCATCCCACTGGTCCCTAGGGAAAACAAGTACCTCCCAAAGCCACCCCACGTCAGGACTTGCTCATCACTTTTGAGTCTTCCAGCTTTTTCCCCTCTCAGGTCCCCACGGTAAAAGCCAGCATCCTGCTTTGTCTACTGCAACCTGGCAGCCTCCAGAAAGAGACTGAATCAAGGATGTCTCCTGGCAGGTCCAGGGCCTGCTGTGCATTGGTGCTCCTGTCCACACTCAGTGCTCAGGTTTTGGCTGAAACTCTTCTGGCTTGCCTATAACCCCAGAAGCTCTGATTTTTCTTCTCCCCTCCTAGGAGCCTGCCTATCCGTTGCTCTGCCCTTGACTCTCCGCAGTCTTCTCCCTTCCTGCTCTAAGGGCCCATCTGTCCATTCTATAGTAGCTGCTCTTCCAGATCAGCTAGGTCCCTCCTGTACCCTGTGGTCTCTACAGAGCATCCTGTCAACTCGCTGCCAGCCAACCTCTCCCTGCTTCCTTTCTCCTTCTACCTTTTCCCATCAGAGTCTTGACAGATTTGTCACTCATATCTTCATTGCTCTACCTGTTAATCCCATCACCAAACACCACTTTTTGTTTGTTTTGTTTTGTTTGTTTGTTTTTGAGAAAGTATTTCTTTTTATAGCTCTGGCTATCCGGGAACTAGACCAGGTTGGCCTCGAACTCACAGAGATCTTACCCCTTCTGCCTCCTGAGTGTTGGGATTAGAGGCATGCGCCACCACTACCTGGCCACCAAACACCACTTTAGCCCTACTTCTGCCATAGTTGTTGGGTTTTTTTGTTTATTTGTTTTGTTTTGTTGTTCATGTGTCTTCTGAGCAAAAGTCTTAAGAGCTCAGCCTGGTGCCTGAAGCCCACCAAATTCTAGACTGGGATTGCTTTTCTGCCCCTTCAAGTCTTCTTAGTGTAAGCTACTTGGAGATACTAACCAGACACAGACTGGGTGGGTCAGTCTCCCACCTGTGAGGCCTCCCCATACAGGGGCTTCCTTCCCATGCCATTCTCCAACTCCATGTCTTGCTGCTGAGGTCCCTGAAGTTGAGCAGGGTCCCCAGGATGATTTTGAGCCACTGGAGAAAGGAGGAGGCACCTCATATTTTCCAAGAACCAGTGGCGGGGAAAGACCAGGGTGCCCCTTTGATGAAAACTTCACACATTTTCCCTGCTCTCCAGGTGCTGTCGACTTCACCTTGCCAGAGCTGCTCTGACCCTGTGGAGGCGACCAGAGAGCAACACCAGTGCCCTCCAGCTGCAGCAGAGACAGATGGTGCTTGCACACCAAGGCCCAGGCTTCTTCAGCCACAGCCCAGCCCAGCCACTGCCACTTTCCACAGGACTTAAGAATTTTCAGAGTTGCTTGTGATTGGAGGAGGGACAGAAGCCAGCCACAATCCCACTTATAGTCTGGCTCCTCTACAGGGAATGAGCAGAAATACAGGAACCACCCCTCCCTTCAAAAGAAAAAGAAGGGAAAAGAAAAGAAAATAAGAGAAGAGAAAAGAAAAGAAAAAAAGTCAAGACCCTAGGAAGCGCCAAGGTTGCAGTTTAGGAACTGCAAAATGACCCATCCTGAGGCTTTTTGAGCCTGATGAGGGTTCTCCTGCTTCTTTCCCCTCTCTCCTGGCCTGTCACAGTGGGTCTGAACTTCCCCCACCCTCCGCCACCACCCCGTGGCCTTTTTTCCCCAAAGGTCTGCACCTCAGCCTTGCCCCTGACTGCTGACTCCTGGCCCCGCCCCCTCCACGGAACTCTGGACACTCTGGCCTTGTCAGGTCCAGCTCATAGGGCTGCTTCTATTAAGGGCTGGCTGTCACCTCCAGCAGCCTCCTCTTGACCCAGCAGGGATGGGGAGGGTGACCCCGGAGCTGGAGGGATTCTGTCTAGGCAGGGTCTTTAGTTTGGCAGAAGACGGAAGCTGGTTGTAAATTTACATCACAGTTCCTCAGGGGCTGGACCAGTCCCTTCGTTTTTATAAGATGGGGAGGCGCTGGAGTTTCAGGGTGGGAGTGACCCCAACTGAGAAGGAGCAGGGCTGAAGCGCAAGCTGCAGAGGCTGCCAGCCTGGGGCAGGGGAGGGGCCTGGTAAGCACCTAGAAACAAGAACTTGCCTCAGTGGGTGCCCCAGGTGGAGAACCAGAGGTAACCTGAGAAAGAACACTCCGATTCTAGGACTCTTAGCCGGCACCAACCGCTGCCAAAGGGACGTGCCGCTGTCCCATGACCTGGGAACGCGCTAACCTTTAGAGAGAGCCTGGAAGCCTGGGCAGGCGCGGGTGGGACCCTGGTGGAGGATGCTTGGGTGGTAGGCGCTGGCAGGAAGTGGGAGCGTAGCGGGAATGGGACCGCAATCGCTTCGACTCCTCAACTCCTGCAGGTTGGTCGAGCTTCCCCGGGCTCGGGAGAGCAGAGCGCGCAGGGAGTAGTAACCAAGTCCGGAAGCGTGTGCAGTGCGGGGTGGGGGTGGGGACCACGCTGGCCCCGGGCCAGGCCTGTGACCCCTGGAGAGGACAGCTCCCTACCTCCCCGGAGCACTGGGAAGCTAGACTGAGCTCCAGACGTGTCTGGGCCTTCCCTGCTCCAGGGCTAGCCGCACTCGGGGAAAGCCCTAGGTCTGTGTGTGTGTCACTTTGTTGTTTTTTCCCCCCATCCTGTGTGCGGTTTGTTTCCTTGGAGCTGTTTCATAGGAATTCCGGTAATAAAGACTTGGTGTTCTCGTGGTGCTCTGATGTGGCTGGCGGCGTGGGCTGGACCCTCCCTCCTTTTGCCTTCATAGGGGAGAGAGTTTGGCCTCTGGAGACGTGAGGAATCCTTGGGTGGCCCCGCTTTCTCCCATCCCCACCCTACCCTCCTGTGCCCTTGCTGGGTTCACTCTCAAGACTGTTTCTAGGGTCCAAAGGACTCAGGCGCCCTGCACACCGCCTCAGGTGGTGACGCCTGCTGCCTGTGCGACCTGCTGGCTTTGTCTACTGCTGCTCCTTCCTTCCTCTTTGCCACACTTGCTGATAATCGAGAAAACGGTGTTGAGAAACACAGCTGGTTGCGAAAGCGCCTTGCTGTGCCTCCCTGCATTAAACACAAAGCTTCTGGTGTGTTGGTGACTTGGGCCTATTGGAAGCTCCGAGGTGTGTATCGCTGAGGTGTGCGCCTCGCACTTGAAAGGGAACACAAGGTTCTTCCTCTAGAAGCGTCATAGCTTCCTCTGCCCCCAACTTAGCTGGACTCCCTTTTCACCCGTACACTGGCAGGGATAGGGCGCTGGCTACTGAAAGAGGAAACGAATGCCCTCTGTTGAACCGGTAATTCAAGGTTAAAAATTCTTCTTTGTGTGGAGCCAAAGACCTCCCTGTGGCTTTTAACAACACATCTTTCTTGTTCTGGACTCTGGGTCATCCCGCCAAGGCTGCCTCCCAAGGAAAGGATTTCAAGCTACGACACAAACAACAGTCCCCATGCCCTTCCATCCTTGACCCCAGCAGGTACAGGTAGGCTGTACCTGTAGCATTCCTGGAACAGCTGGCATGCTGTGCTAGGCAAACGAAGATTCTCTTCCAGCCTCTGGCCAGTTGTTCATCAGTGTCCTGGAGTTATGCAGTACTGAAAAAGCTACTTGTGAGCTTGTAGGAATGCTTGTTCTCAGGGTCGGGGAGCCAGCTGCGTGGCTAAGGGCACACATTGCTCCTGGAGAGGAACCAAGTTCAAACTCCCAACACCTACCAGGCAACTTCCAATTGCCTGTGACTCTAGTTCCTTTGCCTCTGATGCTCACTTCTGACATCTCTCTCACACACACATACATATGTGCATAATTTTAAATAATTTTTTTTTTTTTAAAAAAGAAATGTTCCATTCCAGGCCTTCTGAGTCAGAAAGTGGGGGCGTAACAATGCAATCTGTGGTTCCTATACACGCTGGAATTTGGGAGCCGAGGTGCTAGGCTACTACTCCTCAAATGCTTTTTCAAAATTCTATGCTTAGTACTCCAGACCAATTAAATCAACGACTATGAGGTTTGTTTTTAAAGTGCCCAAGGAGGTTCAAATCTGTAATCAAGTCAGACGGCTCCAGGCTATCAGTCACATGTTTCATGAGCCAAGTTGACCTTGCCCAATAACCACTTTACAGACACGGAAATGACGTAACTTTAGGTGACCTACCAAGATCACAAAATTGGAGCTGAGTTAGGCTAGAAAAGGGGCTCCCGGCTAACTCACCTGAAAGCTCCTTGCCTCTCCTTCTCAAAATGTGCTCCATGTACCCCCTGGAAGCTTATTAGAAATGCTTATAAGATATCTGTCTACCAGCAGGGAGAGAGCACTCCAGAGGCAGAAATGGGAAGATCTTTAGGAGTTTGAGGTTTGAGGCCAGCCTTGTTTACAGAGTGAGTGACATCCAGAGCTGCAAAGAAGAAACCCTGTCTCGAGACGCCAAAAACAAACAAACAAACAAACAAACAAACAAAAAACTACCAAAGTTACAATGGGAAGGCATTGTACCAAGCCCTGAAGAGGACTCTAATCCATTCTCAAGCTTGAAAACCACAGTTCAGGGCCAGTGAGATGGCTCAGTAAGTAAAGGCAATGGGCTGACAGCCTGAGAATATGAGTTTGATCCCCAGGTCTCACTGTGGAAAGAGAGAACCAGTTCCTGTTCTCCTCTGACCCCCGAGTGCATGCCTTGGCATGCGCAAGTGAGCGTACACACAGCTATAATAAATAAACATAAATTTAAAAAGAAGACAGCTCCCGGAGCGCCAGAATTATGTAATGTGTTTTTATTCATCAAGTGACTTGTAGAAGGTTGTAGCTTAAGAAGAACAGGGGTTGAGATTTGCACTTTAGAATACGTTCATCCTATAGACCCTGTTGTTCTTGGTTTGCCGTTTAGCCTGGGGATTCGATTGTAAGATCTCAGATGATTCTAATATACAGCAAAGTTCTTAGAGCCAGGTGCCATTTTGCCTGTTGGTGTGAATGAGACTGAAGGTGATTGTACTAAACCACAGGGTGAGGGGGGCCTGGGAGAGCCATGTGAAGACTGGACCCAGAAGTAGAGACAGCCTGTCCCTGATCATGGCCAGCAGCCCTTGGACTTCATGCTTGCCTGCACATGTGAAGATTCTTGTAGCCACGAGGTGGTATTCAAAGATTTCTGTAAAATTCAGCCAGGCTGTTCAGGATTAGAGCCTCCCAGTGCCCCTGGTCCCCTCATACATTTTGGCATCACTTGGCATTGGTCCCAACTTACAAGAAAATCATAGGATCTGATCAACATTGTGCACAGCAGAACTGGTGTAGGTATGTTGGAGTCTCAGTTTCTGTCCCCTAGTTCTCTTGAAAGCACCTGTTTGGGAATGGGGGGATAGTGGTCAGAGAAAAAAAAAAATTTTTTTTTGAAGCACAGAGGCAGGTAAGGTGTGGGATGACATGATGATAGCAGTTATCGGGGCTCGCTGTGTGCTGGTCACTCTTGTGGGGTGCTTTGTATGTTTTACTGTACCTAACTCCGCAATGAGGATATGAAGTTTGTACTACTCCCGTTCTTACACACCAGCGAACAGAGGCACAGAGATGAAATCAAGCCCCTTGTATGATATCCCTGGATTTGAACCCATGCAGTAGAACCCCAGAGCTGATGCCTAAACGCTAAGCTACCTGCTAGGGATGGGAGGAGGGCAAGTGATGAGATCCAGGATCTTCACGTGGATATAATTTGTGAAGAACAGAAAGGGCCTACCTGCTCAGGAACACCTCCCAGGGGCAGGACTGCCAGCAGAGCCAGGACTCCACCACTGGCATTCTTTATCCAGGTTTAGAAACAATGTCCTAGCATATCCGACAAGCCACAAGCCTGCTTTTGAGAGACAAGCACACGGACTCCTTATGCCCATTACCACAGCCCAGATTAATTTGTTGGATTAGTGATCTGGGCCAGCTCGGAGCAAACTGGGAATTTCTGGAAATGGGGGGGGGGGGGGGAAGGAAGCTGGAAAGGGTCTGTGGAAACCTACTGCCACCAGGTGGTCATTTTGCAAAAGTGGAAGTCACTGACCACAGAAAATGGAACATCGGCTTTGCAGGAGGCCATGAGTACACCTTTGGCTCAAGCTATTCAGCCCAGAGTTTTTTCATGAAACCACATTTGGTGAAACTCGCAAGATGAAGATGTTTTTAAATGTAAAATGTCACTGAAGCTATATAAGAGTCAGGACCCATAAACCCTACTCTGCCTGGGGCGCCCCGGCCTGCCTACAGGTGTCACTTCTCTCTCTCTCTCTCTCTCTCTCTCTCTCTCTATTTATTTTTGAGAGGATCTCACTATGTAACCCTGGATGTCCTGGACTCACTCTGCAGACCAGGATAGCCCTAAACTCATGGAGATCTGGAGATCTGCCTGCCTCTGTCTCTGCTTGGATTAAAAGAACGTGCCACCTCACCTTTATCTAGGCAAAGTGTTCTGCCCTCAGGATCACTATAATTAAATTAAAACAGAAAACAAAACAACAAAAAAACCAAACACGTCGAGAGGATTACTCAGGGACTCTAGCGTGAGCACTTGTGAGGCTCAGCTTAAACTGCACAAGCTTGGCTTGCCGTGACCTTGTCGCCCCAAATGTGGCCTGGATGCGGGGCTCTCAATACTACAACCAAGAAGGTCCATTCAAACTTTCACTGTCAATTGGAGAAAGTTGGTTACCCTATTTGCAGACTTGCAGACTGGCCATCATCAACCAGGAAGCTTGTTAGAAATGCAGTTTAAGCCCCCACTCCAGGCCAACCTAAACAGAATCTGCCTTTCTCCAACTTCCTATGAGCTTCCCCCCAGATTTACCCCAGATTCACACACCCCAAAATACTTGCTCTGAAGGGCTCTCATCCTCCCTGAGCCATTAAACCCAGCAGAGTGATTCTGATTAGCATAAACTCCAGCAGAAGGTCCCTCAAGCTCAGCTCAGCTCCTTCCTCTTCCCTTGGTTGTGGAGAGGAGCCAAAGTCACACAGACTTCAGGGGCAGTCATGGACACAAAGTGTTGATCTCTCCTCAGAAGCTGCCATCAGCCATGGTCACTGCATGAGTGCTTTGCAGAATTAACACACCAACTCTCACAAGGCTCTCTCGACCCTATCCCCCACCCCATGCCCCTGAGACAGGATCTTGCTGTGTAGCCCAGACTAGCCTGAACTTTTGAGATCCTTCTGCCCCCCACCTCCCTAGTGCGTGCGCCACCACTCCCAGCAAACAGGCTTTCTGTTAGGTGCTATGGTCATCTCCATGTTACAGAAGACACGGCTGAAGCCCGGAGGATTATAAGAAGTATTTATTCATTCCTGAGACAGTGGACAGTCAGGGGCAAAAATGACAGGACACATTCAGCACGTGGTGGGGTAGGAGACTAACTCCACACAGACAATGTGTCTTGAAAAGGCAAGGGCAGATGTGTGCAGGCTGCTCATAGGTGGCCTGTGGTCACTACGGCTTCATTTGTCCTAACTCGGGTTCAGTCATCCGTGATGTTCACTAGAAAGTTCACTAGGAATCAGTGGAGGGCCCTGCCCCAGGCTGGGTGTGGGCAGAGACAGGCCCAGTTCCTACTCTGAAGGAGGCCCAGTGAGATAGACTCAGCCTAGTAAGGAGAGTTGTGGGGGAAAGACTAGGTTGGGGCAGTAACCCCGTGTGGCTGGGTGTGATGGGGGCTGCAGGTACGGCTGTCCTAACATGC